TGTGTATGTTTGTGTGTCAGTGTATGTATGTCTGTGTATGTTTGTGTGTCAGTGTATGTATGTCTGTATATGTGTCTCTGTGTGTCTTTGTGTTGTATCTGTGTCTATGCCTGTCTATCAGTATTTGTTTATTTCTGGGTATGTCTGTGTGTTTGTGTGTGTCTATGTGTTTCACATTTTCTCTTTATCCATCCCTCTCCTGATAAACCTCTAAGCTGGCTCCATAACTTTGCTAGTTAGACATTGTGAATTGTGCTTCAGTGGACAGAATATGAAGGTCTCTCTGTGATTCATTCACTGAGCATCTTTCATGTAAACATTTATTTGGATTAAATGTTTTTTTTAATTTTCTGAAGAATTGCCACACTGATTTCCATAATAGGGGACTAGTTTTATTATTGATTAGTCAGGGATCGGCATTCCCTACTGTAATAGTTACAGAAATCAAATTTTAAACAAGTCATAAGAAATTGCCCAGTGTGTAGACTAAGCTTTCGACACCTCACATGCAGAACAACGCTGACAAAAGACATGCTCACTGACATTAATAGTGTAATTATTACAAAATAGTATAAATTTTCTTAATACAAAGCTAAAATATAATTTCTCTTCATATATCCCTGACTTGTATCCTTTGAAGTTCTTGATTCCTTGCCTTTCTTCTTCTGTCTTTCATCTCTCTCCAAGTGCTTTTTCTGTAAATAAACATGATAAAAGAGACACATTACTTAGGACAAGGTTTTCAGTTGACTCTGCTTGCATGACAGTCGTAGACCAGAATGTCTCATGATGAAGAGCATATGAATTGCTGTCAGATCCAGAACGGATGTTAAGTCACATGAGATGATCCTGACTAAGGAGGATGAATACTATGACTCCCCAGTGTCCTTTCACTAGCTATGAGGCTGTGATACTCAGCCAACAGATGTCTCTAAAATTGGCAACAAATCTGTTTTAATCTCCAGTCTGAAACTTCAATGCCCTAGTAACATAACCTCTTCAGTTTCTCAGAGCATTGACTTCCCCATCTCTAAAATAAGATGAAAATATTTTAAGATAGCATAAGTTACAGTTTCTAACCACTTAACTTAACTACTAACCTTAGAAACTGTAAACATCAGAAAAGTTTGTCATGGTTTTATGGGTTTCTTTGTTCTGTTTTGTTTTTATGACAGTTCTTTCATTATCTCTTGAAAAGTGCACTTCTTTGCGTAAGCATAGGAAAGCCTGGAACTCTGTCCTCAGGTGATAAATCTCACATGGATATAGACTTTTAACTGACGACTAGTGTCTAATTAAACACTCTAGGGTATGTGAAAAATATTTTTAATTTTTTTCTTTAAAATTTTTAAATGCATGGGTGTATGCTTGAGCAAGCTCTGTGTGCTACTGGCATGCAAGGCTTGTGGATGTCAGAAGAAGGCAGTGGAACTGGAATTACGGGTGATTATGAACTGCCATGTGGTTATGAGTACCCAACCTGGGGCCTCAGAAAGAGCAGTAAGTGCTCTCTAGTCCCCAAAGTAGAGAATTTTGAAGATGTCCTAACAATTTTCCAAACAACCTTGAGTCTCTTAATATATGGATGTCAAGTAGCATCTTAAGAGCAAACAGAGGAATATAGAGATATATACATAAGATAAAGTCTGCTATATTCTTCGTCTTAGAGCCCCCAGTGGGTGGTAAATTGAAGCCTCTGATTTTGTCTTTAAGTTTGAAAGACATCCCTTAAATAATGCACTCACATTAAGAGTTTCACATTTTAAATGTTAGAAATATGAGTCTGTGGTGGGGCACTTAATGAGAAGGAAACAATGTAGTTTGAGTCTTTTCATTTACCTCAACACAGCATGAGATTAAGAGAAAAACCACTGAAATTTAAGAAGTGACTTGCTTATCTATTCTCCAACATGGTATGAAGAAAGGAGTGTCACTGGGAAATGCTGGGCCAGAACTTCTCATTTAGAAGCAAAGACCAGCTATTTCAAACAGTAGGAAGACCCAGTAGCAATCACATTTGAAAAGTATCTCTGATCTTATATAATCAGACTACTTTCCTTCTTTAGATGTGGGATGGGGAGAAAGAAAGCATTAGGAAGAGATAGGTGAGCATATGTAAGTCATACTTGGGGAAAGTGCCTATAATATAGCCTTGCTCCTGGAAGAATTTGATGCTGGAATAATTCATTCACTACAAAACTCACAGCATTTTGTATGAGCTCTACTACATAACAAGAATCCACTTTTATTGAATAATACTAAAACCAAAGTAAATGGTGCATTGAAATTCAGCGTAGACTTCAATTAGGAAGAGTTTTCGATGTAATCTGAATAGTAGGGGACTAAATTTGACAAGCACACAAACTAATATCTTGACATATGTGGAAGGTGAGCTCTTCAGAAATTGCAAGATAGACTAAGAATTGATGATATACATTCAGAAAAAGAAACATTCCAGATACTTTGTTAAAACATACAAACACACATGTAGAACTTTATAAAGATAGGAAAGGCATTGGTTTCATAGATTCAGATCTGAGGTGATTAGAAGGAATAGATCTGAGTTGTCGGGGACCAACAAGGAACTAGATAAATAGAATTGCTGTTTTCAAAAATGATTAGGTATCTGAGCAGTGGTCATAAAAACATGAGTATACCTTGGTCCAGAGATATACAAATATATATTATGTTGAGGAAACTTTCCTCAGTAAATTTCTTTAAGAAATTTAAGTCTCTATGTACTGACTACTGTTTTATGTTTCCCTTTCACCATCAAATCTCCTTCCTTATCAACCCCTGAGCCTCTGGGCCTTGTTCTGTGTTCATCCACTGAGAACAAATGACAAGAACTGCTGGCCCTGAAGTTACAATTCCCTTTCATCTACCCTAGAAATTTAAGTCTGCAAACGTACCTAGACATCCCTCTGGAGAATAAAGGCTCTCTTTGGACCAGGCTTTAGAAGATCCTAGTTTATATACTGAACTGATGAATGGCACATGATGACAGATGGAAAGAGTCCACTGTTGAGATTATGTTTTCCAATGACTTATTTCCAAATTTGATTCTACATCTGCAACCATTGGCTTAGGAAGACTACAGAGCTCAATTTTCTTTGTTAAAGAGAAACACAGAAAAGGACAAAAAGTGGTTGGTCTAAATAGCAAAGTCCCACAGTGGTAGAGGTGTTTGAATATTTGGTCCCCAATTGGTGGCACTGTTTGAGATTTAGTAGGTCAGTCTTCTCTCTGTCTCTGGAGAAGGGAATATTAGAGATTTAAAACTTTTATCACATCTTCTAGCTTGCTCCCAACATCCTGTTATAGCCACTGTGCCTACTAGTCACTGTCATGCTCTCCCACAATGACAGATTCTTATCTGTGTAATCCAAAGAAATTCTTCCTTCTACAAGTTACCTTGATCATGGTAATTTATCACAACAATATAAAAACAAACTTAAAGGGTGATTTACCTGCTCACACTCATGATACCTATTGGAAAGCAAAGAGACAAGACTTTGATCACTACACTGGTGACAAAAATATAGTCATAACTACCATGAATACCTAGAGTTTACTGATACAGCAACATTCCAAATGACTCAGTATTCAGGTAGGGTAAAGGCTTAGTTGGAGTTTATATTGCTGTGATAAAATGCCATGGCAAACCACCTTGAGAGGTAGTAGGCTTGTTTTATTTGGCAACGCTCAGGTCATACTCCATCATCAAGAGAAATCAGGATTGGAACTCAAGGCCAAAACCCGGCATCAGAAACTGATGGAGAAGCCATGCTGGAATGCTACATACTGAGTTGCTCCTCATGGCTTACTCAGCCTGCTTTCTTATATAGAATAAGACCACCTAGCCAGAGGTGGTTCCTAATGTGCTTGGCGCTTCTATGCCAATCATTAATCAAGAAAATGCACTGCAGACTTGCTTATAGGCAATCTGATGAAAACACTGAGGTCCTTCATCCCAGGCCACTCTAGCTTGCGTCAAGTTTTAAAAATAGACAGATAGTTAGGCAAATTAATAGATATAAGCAACATATAACACTCAGGTTGTACACACTACATCTATTCCATCAACTCTTGCTTTGGTGTCAGCTGAATTTAACTAGAGAAATTCTGAGGGCAGATAATCACTGGAAGGAACATAAATACCGGTGGAACTTCTTAAGATTCAAAGCAAGTGAACCATGAGAACCATCCTTTTCATGGTATGCATATCCATTCTGGACAGAATCTGTTCTTTCACTGTTGCAGCAAATGATTGATAGTTTACATCTCCAATTTCATCTCTCTTCTTCCCACTGAAGCAAGCTTTTGCAAAGTTGTTCTCTGTTCTAAAGCCCAAAATAATTCATCTTCTTATTGACTTTCACCACTATGCGTTTGGTAGAAATATGAATTGGCCCAGCTATTGTGGAAATCAGTATAGAGGCAGCACACACACAGACATACACACACCAACACACACATAATATTAGAAGCTTTTAGGAATCCCTAAATGTGCTATTTAGGTAACCACATATTGTACTTTGGCCAATGAGATTTAAGCTTTAAGATCATTGAATGTGGCTTTCTGTAACATCAAAAAAAAAAAAAAAAAAAAGGTGGGCCCTTCTGGCATTTGCACTGCAGCCTTTGAATTTAGATCCCACTCTTCCATTTGAATGCTGCAATCTCTGCTGAAGTGAAGACATTGGGAATAGCTGACCAAAAATACTAAAAGTGGTCATTTTGCAGAATAGCCTTGAATATTGCACCTCTGGGCTTTAGCTATGGTAATAAAAGAGATACCATTTCCATTTCAGCTCCTTCTTATCATTCGCCACTGCCACATGCCAAGTGTTTTTAATAGAAAGGTTTATTCTGGTTCATTTAAAATATCTGTCTCCTCTTTGATTTGTATGTAAACTTTGCTCATCTTTGATTTGCATGTAAAACTTCCATAAATTATGAAACAAATTCTATCATTACTTTCTCTAATTCAATCTTTCAACATTTAGTTTTTTATATATGGTGTATAGTTTCAACAGAATTCATTCAAGCTAAAATAAGTAATCTTGTTTTTAAAATGTCAATTTGAGAAAAAAAGTTTGTGTGTTGTTAAATATGTAATGATGACTAGAAGTAATACAAAGAATTCTGCTTTTCTATTTCAATTTCTAAACATAAACATTAATCCTTAGCGGTTGGTTCCTTTGAAAACAGATGGAATAGACGAGAGGGAAGACAAGAAACCAGTCTTGTTTTACACTTTTACACAGTGTTCACTGAGTGATGGCTGCCACACTGGGAGGAGACCAAAGTGCAGAAAATTCAAGGAAGCACCACAAAGAAAGTGCATCAATTTTAAAGCTTTGAGTTCTCCCTTCACAGAAGCTGACCATCGTGACTCAAGCAGTTTAAAATAAAACATTCTTCGGGAAAAGACAGTCTCAGAAAAGATATCGAACCAGCAGAAATATTGATTTGATAGTTTAATGTCTTCAAGAGCTTTCTAGAAAGATGTGGAGTACAAATTAGAAATACTACTCTGCATTCTTACCTGTGAAACTGTGCTCAATATTACAGGCAAATAGTTATAAAAGTGTATATGAACCCGCCTTGCTACCTCCATCCTCTCTCAAAGCCTTCATTTTCAAAACTGGTAGCTTGTTTTTCCTTTATCACTATTGTTATATAAATATAACAACACACACATATGCACAAATACATAACTACAACCTGATGAGACCATTGTGTATGTATATTTCAGGGCTGACCCTGTATACTGAGTAGCCAATTAAAGCAATATAGTCTACTGGTACTGCCCTTGGTGTTCTCTCTTGGTTGTCAGATGTGGAATATAAGTCCCTACTGTTAAATACACTGCACATTTAGAACACAGGACTTGGACAATTCCAGCTGGATCTTACTTGAAATTCGACAGACCACCTTTCATAGTATTAAGAAGCACTATACACGTTACCAAGGGAGAGAATCAATTAATAGTCTACCCAGCTGTAACACCTATAAACTACGATAATGACCAGCAAGTCAAGATACCTCAAGTGTAAAACAGTGTCTCTCATGTTGTGGTGACCTCACCTCCCTCATTGGATTTAAGATCCAGTCAAGAGAAAAGGATTCATGCTGGAAATCACAGAACATTTTGGTTCAGTGAGTCTGAATTAAGAAACAGAAATATTCTTGGGTGAGCTGTGTCTGCTTCTCTAGGTTTTTCCTGCAAAGTTGTTTCTTAGACCAAACTTGTCAAAATCATTAGCAGTTTTCTACTACACAGAAAAGACACAAGGCAAAGAATTATGAAACAAGCATGTAAGAAGTACAATGTCAATAGTATGTGTTGAGAATAAAACACACACAGAGAAACAAAACAGGACAGTCTAAGAGTAAATATTTGAGTCTATATTATATTAGAAGACAACACATGAGAAAGAATAGTAATATATGAGAGTAAGTTTAAAGAGATATATGTACATAAAGCTTATCTCAACAAACATTTCTCAAATGCAGTCACAGAATATAATAAGTAACAGTCAACTATTTCCTAAATGTTACAATATGGGAGTTAGGTGTAATTAAGATTTATGACAATCTCCTAAGCATGTGGTTTGATTGTGTGCATATGTGGATCTGTCAACAGTGAAATAGATATACGTTTTTCATCACATTAGAAACAAGCTATACAATGGCTTTGTTGCCTGGGGATTGTCTCCTAAATGTGCTTGACTCTCTAAAGATACTATTAGACCTCTGGGATTTCCTCAGATTTAGAAAAGTATGCATTTCATACATCTTTTAGTGGGTTATTTTGCTTGCTGCTCTTCACCACCTACTTGCTTTATTAAGATGCATATTTAAATTTCCTTATCATACACAATGTTTGTAACTTTTATTGTACAATGTGACTGCATCCCAGTAAAATCTAAATCTCTACCCATCTATGTGTATGTATATGTATATATGTATGTATATATATATATATATGTATATTTATGTATATATGTAATCTCTTCCATTGTATACTTAAGCCCTTTGTATTTAGTATTTTAAAGATTAAGTATTATATTTCTCAGTAGACTTTCAGTTCATTTTTTCTATGTATTCAGGTTACGAATTTCCAGTCTGCCCTAAATAATTAATAATTTCTACTATCATGCTACATTTTAATCCTCAAAATATCCCCCTTTGGATTAGTGGTATCTCTTTTGAGGATATAACCTCACTTATAATCTCACTTATGCTAAGTAGTCAATCAATATGAAATTTATTTAAATTGTCTAAGTGCTTTCATATCGAATTATATATTTTGATTATAATCTGAAGGAGCCACGTGACAGACAATACTGCTTCCCTGGCACATATTTACTTCCTTTACTTTATTTCTATATGTTTTTGGATGTTCAAAGTTCCTGCCTTGAATTGTAAATGACTCTCCGTAAGATGTTAGCCTTCACACTATCCCAAACACACTCTAGGAAGTCTATACTTTGTGTATACTAATAGACTCAAAAAGGTTGGGAAGAATAACTAACTTTTGATCAATAGGACATACAATATTTTGAAATGCTGAAGAGCTCTTCTATCCATTTAGCCAGGAGGGTCTCTTCTGAGATCTAGTACAACACTGCTGTCCATGTCCCCTCTTCCAGAATCTCCTACTTTCGGGTGGCCACAGTACTCAGTACAAATCAGACTTCTACAGGAACATATGGAGAGGCCTTCATAAAGGTCTTTGTTCCTAATGAAAGTCAACAGTCAGATAAATCACCATCACATCTCTCTTGATTCTTTCTTGAACATGTCTGTGTCCAGGAGTAATGTGGGGACTCTGTGCTCATTAGTAAGTGGAGTCAATGTCATTCATTGCTTTCTCTGATTAAGAGAGGACAATAAATATCTTTTGTTACTAATAATCAAACTGACAATTCATTTTTCTGTTACTAAATCGATGCACTAATATGTTTATTCTATGAATCCCATTAAAAGTATTCTAACAAGTTAGCACTAATTCTGACTTGAGTAAATTTGTCCTACATTTTCTTTTGAGTTTTTGACACATGCTTTTTGTGGATGTGAAAGACCCCCGAGGGATGTCTTCCTTACGAGAGAGGCCCCGAACCCACGAATCAGACGAAACCACACTTACAGATGCAAACAGCAAGAGGTTTATTCGAATACACAGGTAACTGGGGCGACAAGGTCTCTCGGAAGACTTGTGCGCCCCCAGGTTGGGGTGAGGGGTTCTTATAGGAGAGCAAAAGCGCGGGTACAGAAGCGAAAAGCATGGTTACGGGGATTCATTCCATTGGTCAATTCAAATAAGGCTAAGAATGCGCGCTGAGTGGCAAATTCTTGACCTTTCACCTAAATACCAAGGAGGGGGTTGTCCAGGGGCTTTCTGTTTTTCTTATCTCTTCCTGCTTTCCTAGCTGGAGACCCATCGGCCAGCTGTAAATACCCTGACTCACATCCTGTCACAGGACAAAAGGCCTCCTCCCCTTATCTTACAGCAAAGGCTTGACTTGTTAGTCTCTAAGGCCTTACATTTCAGCATCCAGGGTGGTATTCTTTTTTTTTTTTCCTTTTCAGATGTATGTGAACACTTCTAAAAGGTCATTATTGCCAATAGAAGGCACTTAGTAAAATGCACAAACATATGTGTTGGAGCCCACAGATATCTATTTTCCCTAACTGGACTGGTACGGAGGCGCAAGGAATAACCAGACACAACTTACACCATTATTATGGAAAAGGGCACCTCAGGCATCTTCCTCCTGAAGATCTCTCCATCAGATCCCCACGTTTATTCTCCAAACATTTTATACCAATACATAAACTGGGCAGGAAAATACATCATCACACTGTCTCCTAGCTAACCAGGTGAATGACCTTTTGTCAGGTTGGCATCTACCTATCTGCTGAGTATGCTAGCTGTCAGGTAGGCCTGAATTAGCATCTCTATAAGGCATCCTCTAAATTACAAAGAAAGGGAGCAGCCAACCTCCTGTCCTTTGTCAGGCAGAGACAGGCTGTCTGCAGGGCTATGTGATCATTTCGATGGGCCCAATGGCTTCAGAGCCTGGCTGCTATACCATAAAGAAATATGGGCCCACACATATGTACTGAAAATACCGTGTATAAAGCAGTCTGCAACAACAACATAGAATATAATAGGAAAAAATTGAGAATATTTGGAAATTTGCCTTGTCAGTTTAAAAGGAACTGACATGGTATTTGAATGGTAGCTTCTCTAGTCATCCATAGAATTTTCTAGGAAAGACAATATGTTCGACCTTCCTCACTTAATCCTCAACTGAAACCAAGGTCTGAAATAAGAGCACTGGTGAAGGATTCCTGAAATGGATTCCAATATATCTCATTGGAATCTCTAGAAACAAACAATGAAAAATTGGAACGATACTACAGACTCCCACAAAATAATCCCTCAAGCACAGAAAAACAGCTCTCATGTTTTCTAAAGCATCTTCTCTTCCTGGCAGAACATATCATTTTAAACTCCATGTTGTTTGGAATCTCATCTCCAGATGTGTCCTTGTACGCCAGAGGCATGTATGAAACAAAGTCTGGATACTATTTTTCTTGCTGTAAGCATTTTACTATATTTAGCAAAGCCAAACGCCACACTTTATGATAGAGTATCAGATAGAAAAACTACGTCTGAATAATCTTGTGCATGTTACAATTAGGCAGTTTGAATGATGATGCATGTATGTAGCCAAAGCCTGCAAGGAACTGGTAAGCAATTAAAATTGTGCAATGAGGATGTCATTATGTTATTATGGTGATTTTTTTTCTAACTGATTTTACTAAAGCATTGTGGCTAAGGTAAAAACAAGTTCTCCGTTCTGGCAGCCATTTCATATTATCAATTCATATGGCGTTTTCTAGCAGCTACTTAAAACCCATTTGCCTTGTACCAGTTCAATGTCCTTAAATCACCTCTTTCCACATCTGAATTTATAAAACTAATATTCAAAACTAGAATGGGATTGCATATTTGAAGTTAAAGTTTGATGATGTGTCTTCTTCTCCCCTGGTCTTATTTTACTTTCACGTATGTGACTTTTGCATATGTGTCTAAAACTCTAGGCTCCATGTATGAGAGAAAAGAAGAAAGTTTTCTTTCTAAGGTTGGTTTTATTACTTAATATTGCATAGCAGACGTTTTCTCGGTAGATGCAAAACAGACACACGCACACACACACACACACACACACACACACACAAACAAATAAAACAAAATATCCTACTCATCCCAGAAGGCCATCAACAGACAAAACTAGGGATACCACCAAAGACCAATTTGAGTTTTATTGCAGTTACTTCCAAGAATATGAGAGAGGGGTTACTTACAGGAGCAGAAACAAAACCCACAGCATCAACAAAACCCACAACAGAATGGGTGATAGCTCTCAGAAACTAGAAACCTGAACCACATTGTACAGTTTACAGGCAGAACACAGGGTGAAGAAGTCCTTTCCCAGTAGCTCCATTGGGCTGGCCCTCTTCTGGGTAACTTGGCTAGCTTTTGTTTCTTCTAGTCATTTCTGTCAGTCTTTGCTTCTTCCATGCCCACTGAGTTTGATGTGCTTCTCCCGGGTGGCTAGGTGGGTCTGACAGAAAATACTGTAAGCAGTATTTTCCTCTTATGCTCTCTTGAGAAGGGAGGGGCCTAATGATTCTGGTCATTATCAGGGAATTTCTGAAGCTGCTTAGAGTTGTTTACTACTTTTCTTAAGGGAGCCTCCCTGCAGGTGGTTTGTTTCCACTCTTACTAAAACATCCTGCTATTTCCCGTTATACTCTGTATCGTAAGAAGTTTCTCCCTGAGATGGAAGATTTTAACCTCAGAGGATACTGCTACACAATGACAATAATGTCCTCCATGTATGTAGAACACTATATTTTCTTTATCATTTGATCTGTGAATGGACACACATGCTGCTCCTATTTCTTGACTATTAGGAATAGTGTCACAATGATGTTAGACATGTGAGTTTCTTTGTACTGTATCAACCTAGTCTGATTTGGGTATTTCAGGAGCAATATAGCTTGATGACATGGAATTAGTTCAGCTTTCTGAAGGTTTCCTGTGTTACAACTTTATGGGAAAGGCTTCCCCAGTTAAAGTGCTGTAGCTCTGAGAGGAATAGTGTCCCCCATGCAAGAGTCGCAGCTCTAGGGCTACAGGTATCCTGGCAGTCAGGAGTCAAGGAATACCCCAAATCACACTGCACAACAAACCTCACACAAGAGATTTATTTAGAAATACACAAGACAGTGGCTGCCTCTACTCAAGTAAGAAGCCGCAGTAAACTGAGCACGAGTCAGGCTTGTATATAAATTCTTAGGTTAGTAGTTTTCCAGGGTAGAGATTTCCAGGGTGGGGATTGGTGGAATTTCAAACCCAGAGATTGGTAGGACTTCAAGATCAGGGATTGGTAGGTTTTGGCATGTTTTCAAACCCTAGAGTGGATTGGGACCTGCTACCCTACCCTTCAATCTTTGTACTGATTTCTCATAAAAATTTGTACTTTGATAATCCATGTATATATATATATATATATATATATATATATATATATATGTATGTATATATATATATATATGATTGGATCAACGAAGTATAATGTTATTCATTCCCCATCTAACTCCTCCATCCCTCCTCAATACATTCTTCTCCTAACTTCATCTCCACCCTTTTTTTTCTCATAACAGACTGTGTCCAAATTGTCCTGACCATATCTGCATAAGACTGGAACCATCTACTTGAGCATGGGCAACATACCAGTGGCCACATTCCTAAAGGTTAATCTCCTGCTCCAGCAGCTATCAGCTGCCAGTAGGTCCTCAACTAGACATGAGACATCATGATGCCTCTCATCCACAGTCGAATTTTGGCTAGACTGATCTTGTTTGGATCATGTACAGATAACCACAGACGCTGTAAGTTTATGCTTGCTATAGCCGTTTCAGGCCGGGGGACCATATTCTGAATGTCTCACTTCCTTGTAGTTTCCTCATTCTTTCTTCTTTCTCTTCCTCATCATTCTCTACGTCTTGACAAGACAATGGGGAAGAAATGTGTGATAATGATGTTCCCTTTAGGGTCCAGGCATCATAGTCATTTCTCAATACTGTAAGGACATGGTAAATTTTAAGGAACTTTTTGCTTGCTTAGTAGCTCATTAGGGCACTGGTTTCAAAGGCAAGATGTCTAGGGCTGGTTGAAAACAGGATGTCTAACTAAGACACTGAGCTCAAAGCGCAAACCACAAAGTGCTCCTGGCATTCTGGCAGTAGGCCACCACTTAACACCTAGCTCTGTGGTCTATCAGGGAGCAGAAAAAGTCTACTGCTTTGGAGCATTGGGGAGAGGGTGCCCCACTTTGGGGGGGTCTTATTAGAGATAAGACACACCTGCTGTTATGTAAGACCAACTGCCTTGACACAAAATGAACCTGGCTTGCAGTTTTTGCCTATATAATGTCAACCCCAAATGATGAGGAGGTTTCTTCCCTACTGAGCTGCATCGCGTAGTAGACGAGACCCCAGCTGGCTGAATAGTACACTGAATTAACCCTGCTTTTGCATCTGGACTTGACTGGATCCTGATGGTCTCTCTGGGGGTTGCAACTTGGGTACAACAAATACTTTGACTGCCTGTGAGTTTCTGACCTGACTATTGTCCACTGTTAATAGCTGAAGTCTAAGTTATGGACATTTAGAAGGCTGTTAAACAGCATGACCATTTAGTAAAATAATAATAGTACATGCTGCCCCGGAGCCTGACACTTGCCCTAAACCATGGGCTTTAGACAAGATTTACAGTGTTAATGATGGAATCCATTTGCACAACAGTTTGCAAATATGATCATAAAGTGGTTATTACCATATAACCACCACGCTACTCTTACAAAGTGGGCACACCTTACCTAACAGGTCAGTATTATAACATGCAGATTCAAGCACAGGGTAAAAGCAGTGGGCCTATCTACACTGATTGCCAGAACAATTATACTCTTTTGGATTGCTACCAGTGGTATATGTGGGTTCCTTCTCCTCCAAACACCCAAATCCTCACCAGCATTGTCTTGGTTGTCATTGTTATTTACTTGATAATAATAATCTGACAGTGATGAAAAGGGATCTCAGTGTGATTTTAATTTGAAATTCCCTTATGTGTGTGGATGTTAAATACTTTTCATATGATTATTGGCTATTTTTATTTCTTCCCTTGAGAACAGTCTGTTTATTTCATTATTCATTTATGAAACAGACTGTTTAGTTTTATGTATTTACTTTTTAAGCTCTTTACAGATTTTTGCTATGAATCCTCTAGCAAATACAAAAATAGCAAAGTTTTTCTGCCATTTTTAGCATGTATATTTATATGGTGGATTGCATTTTTTTCCTGTGTAGAATTTTTTATTTCTATATAGCTCCATTTCTCAACAATTAGCATTGCTTGCTGTGCTATATGTAATCTTTTCAGAAAGTCTTTGCCTATGCCTTTATCTTGAAGTGGTTTACAAAGGTGCTCCTTTAGCAGCTTCAGGGTTCCATGTCTTACATGAAAATACTGGATCCATTTTGAGTTAATGCATGCACAAGCTGAAGGATAAGGTTCTATTTTTGTTCTTTTATTGTTGGTACTGAATTTTCCCAGGACCATTTTTAAAGATACTATCTGAACTCAAAGTTGTGTTTTTGATACTAATCCTTCCCTACCTCGATATTTGCTTTTCTACATGTTTGCTTTTGTTCTATGCTCTTTTGGATATTATGGTTCTACAGTATAACCTAAAGTATGGAGCTGTTTACTTTCAACATTGTTGGTTTTGCTCAGGATTGTTTAGGCTCTTTCAACAGGGATGATGGTGGATGATAGTTATTTTTTTCTTCCTCTTCCATGTACATTTTAAGATTATTTTCTGTGACTAATGTAATTTTAATTTTGATGAAGAGTATGTTGAATCTGTAGTTGACATTTGCCAACACAGATAACCTCATGCTGTTAATTTTGTCCACTTATAGCAAGGCTTGTCTTCCTACCTTCTAGGTTTCAATAACTATTATTCTTTAATATTATCTTTTATTGTGGAAATTGCTCACTTCTCTGACTAAGATTGGGCATTGGGGTTTTATTTTATACTTTTATAATTTCTCTTTTAATTTTGGTTATGAGCCTAGTCTTTAATGGCTGAGCCATCTCCCTTGCCCTTATTATTTCTTATAAATTATTGTGCATGAGACTATTTTTCCTAATTTCCTTCTTAGTGTGTCCATCATTTGTATATATGAAAGCTACCAATTCTGACTTTTGTATGTAAGATTTGTTACCTGATACTTTGCTGAATAAGTTCTTCGGTTCTAAGGATTTTAAGGTGGATCCATTAACATCTCTTACGTATATGACCCCATCATCTATAGAGAGGGATAATATGGCTTTTTGATTTCTAGTTTTTATTCCTTTTTGTTTCTTATGTCTAATTGTTAACTAAAACTTTAAGAATTTTATTGAATGGGACAGTGGAGAATATGGCAACCCTTTCTCATTCCTGATTTTCATTGAAATGATTTGAGTTTTTCTCTATTTATTATAATGCTGGCTAAAAAATCCATTTATTGCCATTTTTAGGTTGAGTGTCTTCCTTCTCTTCCTAATATTTTCAAGGATATGAAAAGAAGTGATATTTGTCAAAGATCTAATCTGCATCTTGTGAGGTAATTATATAGTTCTTCTCCATTAATTCCATTTATATACTGTATTGTACTGTATTTTATATATTGGGCCACTTCTGATTTGAAGTCAACTTGATCATGGTGAGTGATATGTTAATGAGTTGTTGAACACATTCTGCCAGTATTTCCTTAAGAACTTCTACATTGTATTCACCAGGGAGATTAGCTTATAATTTTATTTTTTTGCTAGAACTGTTTTCATTTTATCTCATATGTTCTAGTGTACTGTTTCTTCATTTTTGTGTAATTGTAGGGATTCTTCAATTTCCAACCTGATTTCTTCAATGGCCTTTTCATTTGCAATTTCTTTGAATTTGTATGTTTGCTGTTGCTTCTCTTACTTTTGATTTCCACTTTTACTCTTTTATAGTAGACAGACTACAAAAAAAGCAATTCCATTATCATGTGTTTGTTAACACTTACTGTGCATCATGTACTAGAAGCAGTTCCCAGGTGTGTACAGGTTGCATTTTCGCTCAGCGCCCAGTAAGACAAGTTGACATATACTGTCCTTTAGCTGGTGTTTCCCAGTGATGCTTCTGTGGCTGTCTCTTTGTTGTAAGCAGTGAAGGAAACCCACTACAGTTCTTTAACCCAGCACTTGGAGCTGAGGACTAACTGTGTGGGCTAAGAAGTCTCTTGCTTCTGTTCTACTTCCTAAACTTTCCTACTTCTCTTTGTTATTGGACTCAGTCTCTGCATCATCACCCACTTCATAGGATGCCTAATTTCCAGTTTCTTCATATTTTCTTTCTTGGAGATTCTAACAGTCTATAGCTGGTTATTGTTCATCATCTTCTTCTCCCTGGAAATTTTCTGATTAATTTGGCAAAAAACAAGATACATTTTCATGGTTATTGTATCAGTCAACAAACACATAAACATAACAATACTATAATAATATGGGTTTTTTGTTCAGTTAAAAAGGTACACTTTTGGCAGTGTCTTTCTACATCTAATTTACATAAAAACACACTAAATTATTTTCTTAAATAAATGTTTCAGTACCTCTTATGTAGAATATTTTGATTTTATAAACCTGAACTAAGCATCAAAAATCTGTATTTCTAAGAGGGAATCCCTTGATTTTTCCCATGTCTTTATTCCTTAGATAATACTTTTGTAAAATATTGGTGATTATATATTGCAAACAAAGAAAACAATATATACTAATTTTATCAAGAAAATTACAATGCAGACACAAAACGAATGCAATGTCAAAAACATTTATTGAGTACATACAATACAAGGCTAAATAAATAACATTAACCTAGCAGGGGAGATATTATTCTGTGTTGTGTGATGAGACAACAGAGTGCTAAATCAGGGAGATGTGACATTTAGTGTGAAAAATGAAATTATGTGTTTCTAAACTTGGCTCAACAACTTTGGTTGAATACCATTATAGTACAAGATTTAGGTATAATGAAGACTTCTGGCAATATCATCAGAATGTGATTTTTATTCTGAACATAGGCATATGTCAACAGCCATTATGGTAATTCATTTGCCTTAGGATTATAAACAAGCTAGGTAATAGTTTGGTGTACATATATAAGCTTCTAAATGAAATGCTTAAATATCAAAAGGTTCTGTTTACATCTAGAATTTTTCTACATCTAGAAATGTATACATATATTAGTATTTGCGTATATGTATATGTCTAAAATATTGTTCACTTGGTCAGATTCTGAAATATCATGAGATAAATTAACTTTTCCTTTTAAAATTTATTTATTTATTGAAGTGAGTGCATACATGCAGAGGTCAGAGTTCAAATTGAAAGAGTCCGTTTTCTCTTTCAACCTTGTGAGACCCAGTAATTAAACTCATTTCATCAAGCTCCACAGAAGCATATTGAAGCATCTTGCGGGCCAAACTCTCTAACTCTTGTTTTGTTCAGATTCTGAATGAAGTAAACAAAAAGTTCCTACATCACTGGTTGTTCTAAAATGAATCAATGTCTATTGACTTGTATAAAAGGATAAATGAAATTGCTGCATTGTTAGAAAATTAATGTTGAAGAAAATAAATGACTAATGGAAATATGAAATCTTCTAGAATTATATCATCTGCAATTCTATCCAAAATAAAATAGATAATTCATCTTATGATTTAAAATGTGAAATAATTTTTAAAAGGAAAATAAAGTTGCTGGTAGCTATATAAGTTAGGGCTTTCTCCTCAGAGAAGTGGATCAAAAGCAACCAAAAGTGATATAAAGAGTGAGAAAACATTGTGGTGGGTGTGCCTGCAGGTAACGGACAATGCCTAGTGCAGCTGAAGAACTGTAATTAGAAACAAATAGTTTTCCAGAGATAAAAAGAAAGAGCTTTAGAAATTCACCAAGGTAAGGATAAGCTATGTGAAGAGTGCAGAGCAGAAGACAGATAGTCAACGCAGACACAGAAAAGAAATCCAAGATAAACACAGTTCCATCCATGAGGCAACAGGATGGTGGCAAAATGGGTTGGGGGAAAACAGAAACCTCCTCGAGTCAGTGAGACATCTGGGACATTGAAGGCACTGGCTGTCAAGCACGATGACCTAAGTCTGATCTCCAGGCACCACATGGTAGGAGAGACCTTACTTCTGTAAGTTGTCCTTTGACCTTAACAGGTGTGTGAATGACACCCATGTGCACATTTTTTACTCAAAATGCGCGCACGCGCACACACACATGCACACACACATTAATTAAGTAATGTCACATTTCCTAAAGGTAGTTTCGGTAGCCTTGTGAAATAGCCTGGGAGTCCTAGTCTCTGACTGGGATGAGACTTCAGCCTTACAATCCCAAATGTAGTTGCAGCATTTGATAAAACAGTCATTTCTCTTGTGGATGGATCCTCAATGGAGAGCAAATCATTTTGTATGACTCAGAGTAATGGCAAAGTGCCCTCCTAAGGGTGAATCTACTATTGAAAGTTGGACTACCTTAGGGGTCTGAGAACAGGGAACAAGCATTGGCTAATGAGCCTAAATTTAACCTGTCATAACCACACAATGAGAAACAAACCTAGTAAGCGATTCTAGACAATGAGGTAGACAAATGCTGACTTCCCAACAGATTCAGGTGACAGGCAGCACATAGCAGGCAATAAGGTGCAGAGGAGTATACATCTTTACCATCCGTGGTAGAACACCAATCTCACCAACTGAGAATAACTTTGAAGATGTATAGCCCGAACCTGAAGTTGGTAGAGGCACCAATGTCTGGGCCACCTATCTGCCTTTCATAGCCATTGTAGAAATTCAGAACTCAGAAGCTCTGGAAGTCTATGTGACATCTACAATTGTGTCCCACCAGTATGATTTCCAATACTTAGAAGACCTCCGAAGTGTGGCAAGTACTGGGGAAAAAAATGGCTCATTGGGCCAGCAAGACATCTGAGTTCAATTCCCAGAACCTGCAGGGTAGAAAGAGATAACTAACTCACACTCACTGTCCTTTACATTCTATTTGTGCGTCACGGCACTTGCAAGCACCCTCACACCCACCGCCACTCAATCACTGAAGGTGATTTTTTAAATTCATAGTAAAGATGAAGTGCACTGGGGGTACAGTGGTGAGAATAGCTGTAGAAGAGCTGTTCCAAAGGACAGAGACAGCATTCCATCTGCTCGTTTATCAGCAATATGAGTGTTTCTCAAACTCTCAATGAATACAGAAGACAGACACAAGCTACTAATATGTCTAAATCTTTCCTCATTTTGTAAACTCAAAATATTAGGAATATTTTCCTAATGTGAGCTCTCCGCCGACGCAAATTCCCAGTCAAACCAAATCAAAACAAGCCAAATTAAGAGCTATCCAGGTTTAATGGAAGTTCTGCACTCTCGGGTGGCCCTGAGTGGGGAAACTGGGAAGCCACACTCATGCGACAACAGGGAGGAAGAAAAGGAGACCACGTGTTCCTCTTTTGGGAGGTCACTTAAATATTCTTGGGCATGGTCCTGACCTCCCCACCCCAGGGAGGGAGGGGTCAGGACCTGGCCTGCTGGGATTTGGAGTCCAGAGTGATTACTCTCAGGGTCAGGGTCTAGGATAGATGCAAGGGGCTGGGGCCTAAGCTCCCCACTTAACAGAAATGTCCACCACGGTTTCAGGAACTTAAACAGTTCATTCATAGCAGGTGACATTGTTCAGGGAGAATCCGCTGGGCCTTGCTGCGGAAAGTATGTCACAGGAGGCCACTTTCAAGAGCCATGCCTACCAACTTCTCTCATGCTTGCCTCTCCATTATAGACCGCAACCCTCTGGAACTGTATGCAAAACTAAACTCTTTTGTCCATAAGCTACTTTGGTCATGGTGTTTATCATGGCAGCAGTAAAGACAGTAAGATACTGCCCAAGATGAGAGAGAACACAACTTAATAAAAATCCAAATAAAAAAAAACTTTTAGTACAGATTCCAGTGAAATTTGAAAGATTGTTTGAGAATATATGAACCTTTGATGGTTCAATCCTAGAAAAGCTGAAAGAAACACACAAATTCCTAGACATATACAATCTACAAAGATTAATGCAAGAATATAAAAGTGTTCACCAACTCTCTGTGTCCTGCCTACATGTAACTGCCTTAAGTTTCTACCCTGGCTTCCCCAGATGATGAACTTCAAACTGTAAGATGAAACATATTCTTTACTTCCCCCTAGTTGGTTTTGGACAAGCTGTTTATCATAGTAATAGAAACCCTAATTAAGGCAGGTGGAAAGAAAAGGGGACTGGAGTATATGTGATGCATGAGCATAAGAAACCATCAGCAGGAATTAAAAAGTGAGTATGGAGGACAGGAGATGTGAAAGGGTTAAACTCTCCCATTCTCACAACTGAATTTAGGTTTCAGTTCTCTGAGAAGGGTAAAACAGGTGTCTATCTCAAGAAAGGGATCTTGATCCATAACACTCTTACATTCAGGGATGAGGGAAAAAGAACAAACACAATGCTTAAATCAGTATCACAATGTCTCAAGGACAAATTCTACATTCCCTTTCTGAGGCATGTCCAGATTTGCCCAAGCTTGTGCAAGTATGTCCAAAAATGATGAGACTAAACCTCAACCAATAAAAAGTATACTAATGTAACTGCTGTTTGCTTAACCAGTCATGTATGAGATGATCTAACCATCTCTGAAACTCCCCTTAGCTGTTTAAAAGGAGCCTGCACATGGCAAATGAATGGAACTATAAAAAAATCATCCCGAGTGAGGTAACCCAGACACAGAAAGACAGACATGGTATGTATTTAATCATAAGTGGATGTTAGATGTAAAGCAAAGGGTAACCAGTCCTCAGAGCAAGAGAAGCAAGGTAACAAGGAAGACCCGAAGAGGAATCCGTGGATCTCCCTGTGAAGAGAAAATAGATGAAATATCCTGGGTAAACTGGCAGTGTGCAGGACGGGGTAGTAGAGGGGAGGGGAGGGGGGAATGGGAACATGAGGGATCAACATAGTCTGGTTCAAGGTGGGACCGAAGGGGAGAGTAATGAAAGACATTCTTGACAGAGAAGCCATTATGAGGTTAGGGGAGAACCTGGTACCAGGGAAACCTCCAGGAACCCACAAGGATGACCCCAACTAAGACTTGTAGCAATACTTGAAAGGGCATCTGAATTGGCCTCCTATAATCAAATTTGTGACTACCCTAATTGTCATCATAAAACCTTCTTCTAGTAACTGATCGAAGCATATACAGAGATCCATAGCCAAGCACCAGGCCGAGATCCAGGAGTCCAGTTGAAGAGTCAGTGGAGGGCTTTTATGAGCAAGGGGCCGTCAAGATCATAATGGGAAACCCACAGAGACAACAGAC